ATAGGATCACGTGCAATGGAGGAATGAACATTCCCTGTCTACTGGTCACACCCACCGAGTACTCCATGTCATGTAAATGAAAAATCCGTAGACAATTCAGCGTGAAAATCATGGCCTAACAATTTGTATGAAAAACGTCAGTCAACATTCGACTTAACGACACATTGTATTTGTAAACAAGGTCATTGTATCGATCGTAGAAATTGCCAAATGTTGACTTTAGATTTAAACGAGATAGTTGATATTCTTTTATCATCATGTCATCATGTTTATCATGAAGTTTAAGTTGTAAGTTTGACATCAATTAATGTCTTTCTTTTAGTAAATCATCCAAATATGAAACAAATGTGTTGGATTCTGAGGTGTCTTTTATTCCGAGTTCAATGGAATATATTGAATCAAAGAAGGAATTAAACTGGTAAATTGGTTAAATGGCAAAACGTCGTCGATATTTCTAAATGTCGAATTAAAGGCAACAGCAAGAGACTTCTTTTTTTGATGCAGAAGTTTTTTGAATATATTATGCTTTATTCGTTTACAAAAACAGGTCTGCTAATTACGGGACACATTTAGCACCTAGGCAAGTTCTAACAGAGTGTTGGAAAACCTGATCTCCGAAAAGTACATAGATATTTTCTATGCAGAACACAAGTATCTTTTTAATATCAACCTTGGGGTGCCTGTGTAATTGGATTTTTTTTTTTTTTTTTTTTTTTTTTTTTTTTTTTTTTATACAAAATAAGTTTGCAGATGACCGATGACAAGGTATGCAAATAAACGAATTCCATTTTTTGTTGAAGTAGCAGTTGTCAAAAAGTCTGGTCTTCACTTAACCGTGAAGAATAGTTGTATAAAAAAAAATCGTACGTTTTGATGCTATTGATTTTGGTAAAAAAAATTGATTTCAAATTTTCTAAAAGTTCCTTGGAATTTTTTTAAGTATCCACATCTGACTAACACTGCTTCTCAAATATGCTGTTTTACAGTACTCCTGAAGTTTTCCCTTCACTTCTGTTAATATTTCATGAGGAGTATAGAAATGGGCTTGGTAGAACATTTATTAGAACCCGCTATGTATCTTTGTTTGTAAGGATTTTTATGATTTTATGAAGTCAAGAATTTAATTGTTATTTTTTAAGAATATTAATTAAATCCAAGTTTCTATCAAAAGTAATTTTGATAATGAGCCTTCAAAATAAAGATTACGTTGTTACCTGATTTGTCAGCTGGGACCAATACATATCTATCCTGTAATCTATCAAATTCTTTTTTTCACTTCTGAATTATTGAAGAGAGTAGGATAGATGGTTTTTGATTTAATAATGCAATAAAGTATATTATTATTCTATAGTATTTTGAGACCTGGTAAAAATTCAAATTTTAATTTTGTATTTTTTAAATGGTAGGAAAATAGGTGAGAAAGTGAAGTATTGAATAAGCTACAATTTTTCTTTTCTTATCTTTTAAACCCATCATCTCTTGCACAAGAATTCTTTTTTTAAAAGTCTTCATTTATTTTAAAAAAACTCTGCCTGGGTAAGCAACTTTTGCGTTCATGAATTGCAAAATATTTTGTCAACACTTCTTTGAATTCCTCAAGCATTGAAACAGGTTTTCTCTAAGACGCCAGTAAAATGAAATCGCTTTAAGATAGAGCTTTTATTAACTTATCAGACATCAATTTAGAGGTTGCTTTCGGTTTTCTCATTGCTTCTCAGCATGTCTTAATTTAATTATTTTAATGAGAAAGAGAGCAATGAGTTCGTGTATTCATATATACCGGTAACATGCGTACTCTTATTTTGTCTGAAGAAACACACGACGAAGAGATCAATAAAAGCGTTTCATAAGGAACTAATTAACTCAAATTATCGGAAAATGTTTATTATATAGACATTTTTATGATGTAAACACCGGTCATTAATGTTTATCTCCTGATGTATGGAGAGCGAAGAAATACAATTTATTCTTTTAAGTCCAAAAGTTGGACTGGGGATATGTCAGCATTACCAAATACTACACAATTTTAAAAGTGTATCAACATTCTGTATTAATTAATAAGTTTGAATCACATTTGACATAGTCTTGATATTACAGATTTCTCATAAGTATTTCCAAGCAACGTACTCTACCAGGGAAGCATGATGCACGGCTCGGGGTTTTTTTTTTGGGGGGGGGGGGGTTATAATAGAAACTTTTCATAGAAAAAAAATCACGTAACAGGTTTGTTTGTGCCAATCCATAAAATATGGCAAAGAAGAATAAATTTGTTACTTCGTTGTCTTTAAGAGACATATTAATTAACTTTATTCTGTTCTCTGTTGGTATTGTAACATTTCTGATGGTATTAACAGGTGTTATATTACGCTTTGATTTTTGTGATATCTCACGTCACATTGTGTACCAGGCATTTGTAAAGATAAAAACATTAAATTTTCATAAGTGTGATGTTGACCCCATACTCTGCTCTAGGACAGTATAAATGCATAGTAACAGTATAAATTCATACTTCTTTCGTATTTTGAAAAGAAATAATCATTTTAAGTGAGTTCTCTAATTCTTGAACATAATGGTGCGAATCTCAAATAAATTATATATATGCACTAATCATTATTATTTTTTTAATTTCTCAAACAGTGTAGAAGAGTGTGATTTAAAGTATTGTTGCTGAAAATTAAGGTATCGGAGATGCCTCATAGTTTGCAAAATGTGGATATTTCTTGGATATCCTTGTTGAAGGCAGATGCAGTTGTTCTTTTTGCGTTACTTTATTATTTCATATTTTACGTCCATACGTGTTATTGATGAGTGACATCAATCCTAGACTGAAACAGTCTTTATACACTTTGAGCCCTCTCATTCGTCCAATTATATCAGAGAATATGCGTTTCCATAATCAAAATTTTAAAAAATACAGCTTACATTTTACTCCTTTTCCTGAACGACGAGTGCTGCATTTTTGTATTGGAATTACATCTGTTCAGTTTAATTAATTATTCGTTTTATTGACAATAATATACTTTAATATAACCCAAAAATATTTCAACATTATCAACTAAATTTACATTGTATAATGTTACATGCATAAAATATTGTGTATTTCAATATAGGGTTGGAGATAATATAAACCTTTTCTTAAAGTAAAAAATCTAACAAGTACTAAGCTATTAGTATCCGATATATCATTCTTTCGCAACAAGTGTGAGACATCAAAAATGAATCCCCTTGACATAAGGAAAATTAATGACAAATCGTTCTGATAGATCATGATTAGCACCAACTTGTAAAAATCGTAAAGGCGCAAAAAATAAAAAAAAGATAATTACCAAGCCTCCTACATTTCATTTACCACACAATGACTTAAAGGAGAGAAACGCGCACTTGGGCTATATCTTACATTACGCGTCAAGTAACTCAGCGAGAGAGCACTTACTGAAGTCATTCTGTTGATCGTGTTATGATTCGTAAGCCTTTTACTTAGGAATGCAATACACAAACATTGTTAATGATTAGTAGAGAGCAAACTCTTTCGAGATATCATGTATTGCATCGGCGAAATAAAGCAGAAGAAATTTTATCCACATATTTATATGATTAGCTTTTTCCGTCCTTTTGATTACAATAACATCAAAATATAAAACCCAACTGTACTTTGAAATGTAAATTAATTTCGAGAGAACATGATTTTCTGCTTTTAATGTGATCGTTGTATGTTGTATGGTGTATTATTATATTATATTATATTATATTATATTATATTATATTATATTATATTATATTATATTATATTATATTATATTATATTATATTATATTATATTATTTATTGTCATAAATAAAGTTAGAAATCTTATGATAGGAGATTTACGTCATAGCACTAGTAAATGATTCCATGATTCAAACATTAAAACATGTTAAGTATGCAGGTCAATTAGCTAATATATTTTCAAAGGAAGTTGGAAGACTCGTCTTACAAACATTCTGTGAAATCTGCAAATTTTGTGCTCTATAAATGCTTTCTTGAGAGCTGTAATTTATTATTGATGGGAAAAAAATTCTATTACTGTCTGGTGGGATGTTTTGAGTCAGGAATTTGTTCAAATGAATTTCCATTGCAAGAACGTTTTTGTGTAACAGCTTCCAAGTCAAAACTATATGTCTGTGACTTGCTTTTCAAGGTGCTTTTTACAGTAAATAGCACTAAAGAAACATAACACCATAAAACATCAATAAACAACAAGATGCATCGTGGAATAATTTTGGGACGAAAAGAGGCTAGCATGTACTATTAGTCTCTATTTGCAAAAGCATCACTTTTATTTGATTGTTTCACGTCCTTTTTTGCTGGTCTCGTAGCGTTGCAAATTTAGCAACGGATCAGTAATACAGAGCTGTACATTCTAAGTTAATTAGATTTCATCGCTCCTTAATTAACCTATATCGAATAGCAGTCGATCAAGCGATTGAGGGCAAAGAATAAGCTTTTATGTTTTTCTTTTTTTATATAGATTTGAAACAGAATCTTCAAAAACTTTGTTTTGAGATAGTAAATTAGTTGTCCGTCGTCTGGGAAAATGCATTTCATGGTGCCAGTGTCTCTATAAACTATTATTCAGCGGCTTTGGAAAAAAAACCCATTATCTTTATCAAGTATGGTGGAATATAATCTGGTTGCGAAATTATCAAATGTACTCAATAATTTAAGAAACTTTTCTTTGAGGATTTCATGGAAAGTAAATACTGACACAACTGACCAAAATAAGATTCACAGAATTAAAATGGTTTTTAGCACTGCATTTAATTTACTGTAAATAAATTATAAGAACACAAGTAATCAAATCAAGAGATATGCTTTTATGACAACTATCTATGTGACAAAAGACAAACATATTAAACATTAAAAACAACAACATTCCCTAAAATGTATCTTATCACTTTTTTGTACCGAGTCCACAAATACACAATGATTTGAATACTATGACTGTTCTCTTGTAATTTCAGATTGTAAAGATGTTAGTCATAGTAGTAGCAGTATTTGGAGTATGTTGGCTTCCTCTTCATGTCTTTGCGATGCTTGTGGACTTCTACGATGGTTTCTTACATTTTGAAAGTGATCAGGAACATATGATGGTTCTTATCATGTTTCTCTGTGTGCACTGGTTGGCCATGTCAAACAGCTTTGCTAATCCAATAATATATGGCTTCACAAATGAAAATTTTAGGGTAAGTAAACTTTTTATATTGTCTTTGTTTTTGAAGCTGAGAATAATGTTAATTCTGGTCATTTCCCTGTTCTTGGTTACCTGAATAACTCAGATCACCTATTGATATCCGTCGTTGTCCTTCGTTTTGTATTGTGTGCAATTTTTAAAACACATTTTTGGCTTTTTCTCTGGCCTGTATTAACCAGTTTCAACCATTCGGGGACCCTATATATAACAAGTATGGGTACATGAGAAAATAATCTCTGAATTTCGTGGTTCTTCACTCCCTAGGATGGGATCAAATTTCTCAACGTTTCCAAAATTTCTAAAAGTTAATTCTGTCTTCAAATTTTCTTTTTCCAAGACATCAAGTAGGTTTGCAAGAATTTAAGAGCCATGGAGCTCTCTAGCGAAAGAGCAAATCATGACCTCTGATTCCATGTATCAGGCTGAGTTAAGTTGGTAATAGATTAAAAATGCATTATATCTTCGAAATATTCTTCGTAGCTTAAGGTCATCTTGCAGTGAAACTTTTTTTGCAGCGTGAGTGCTCTTCCACTAGTTTGAATTTCATGGATCTTAAGCGCAGAATCCATGCTTCGGAATAGGGTGGTTAAGTTGGTCATATAACTAACAAGATAATTCTGTTGTAAACTATAGCATAGTTCACTTTAGTAATTCCTTTACCATTTTTACTCTGCTACTTTACTTTGATTGATTTATTTGTTATTCAAATATTTTTGAGTACATGTGTAACAGTTACAATGTCTCTGGAATGCAGGTAAATAAGAAATGTGTTTAAGTCTACTATTGATATTTCCTTAAAAGAAAATAGTATTAGAAAGTTGAAATAAATAAATTATAACAAAACTTTTATATTACATACGTAAATAATACTTACATGCAGTATGGAGAAAAACGTAAAAGACTGCATAGTGAAAACAATGTAATGGACATACTGAGAGTGCTTTTTATTTATATAACAACTCCCTTCACCCCTACACTTAAAACAGGCAACCTATTTACCACGATTATAATGAGCAGCATTCTGCAAACATTAAAAAAAAAATTAATATCGTGCGTTTAGGATTCAAGCATTAGGGTGGGATCAAAGTGGGTAATAAATAAATCAGAAAGATACAAAGGGTAATTGTCCTCTTAAATTTAGGGTATGGCTTACATGTGGGGAAATGAAAATAATTCAAGCTTCGGGGGGTCTATTATCTAATGAAATATCAAAACTATTATAATTTTACATGGATCCCTTGCTAATTAAATTACAGTCCTACAGATGATGTGTCAGCATAAATCAGCATATCTTACCATTTACATGAATTATAAAGTTTGATGTTATGTAATTGGAAATAAAGGCACACATTTCATACAAAATGTATGACCCAAGATTTAACACGACAGAGATACAAGATAAATTAGAGGAGCAAAGAGAGATGTTTAATAACTCATGATGATGCTCAGGTGACCGTCAAAGCCCACTTGCCTTTATCATGGAAACTTATTTAACGTCATTTGGACATCAAACTCATCAACAAAGACCCATCCTACTCATTGAACAAGCTATAGTAGATAATAAACGTAATCTATATAGAGATATAACTAAAGATTATAAAGTATTTAGCATAAGATGATGTTAAATTATTGAAAAAGAAAATGATTTATACAGAAGAAAAGTACAAAGATATTACGTGTTTTCAATAAAAAAAACACAACCTGTCACTTTGTTTTCAATACCAACAACTTCCTTGAAATTCTTCTGGGACAACACACATCAACTGAATGGTAACATATTCAGAACAAAGGAACTAGCTTTGTTTTCCACCTCTTCAATATCTGACAATCCTCAGCTGAGGACGAGACTTTATCAATGAATTTCTGTCAGGATTTTCTGTGTCAGTCTGAAAGAAAAAGAATTTCTGTGTCAGTATGAAAGAAAAAGAATTTCTACTTCCTCTTCACAGATCAATAAGATGCATATTCCTATAATACTATTAATGCAATATATACTATACGGTAGTGTTACGAATATATACCTACATAATTAACAAGATAATATATGACAGTATGTACGTCTGCTTCATCTGCATATACCGGGAGTACCCTTGGTTACAAGAGCTTTTTAAGGGGATCATAGTATGAGGAGCATATGTTATCAATTATGAATACTAGTAAACTTAAAACTATTATCAAATTAAATAATTTTAAGATATATACAGGGAAATGCATGCATTTTTATGTCATTCTTAAATTAAAAAAAAAATGCTAATACCGTTCAAATATCATTGACGATTTTTAATTGTTTTAGTAACTTCTTCATTGATTGATTGATTGTATATTGTTTTACGTCCCATTCGAGAATTTTTCACTCATATAGAGACGTCACCATATACCGGTGAAGGGCTTCAAATTTTGACCTTTACTCGGCACTCAGGGCCATTGAGCAGTGAGGGATCTTTATCGTGCCAACGCCTGCCGTGACACGGGGCCTCGGTTTTTAAGGTCTCATCCGAAGGACCCGCAACTTTCACTTCAAAGTGCCGAGCGCATGGCGAAGGAACAGTTGCTACCTATTTTGTATCGACTTGGGTCTGTCGCGGCCGAGATTCGAACTCACGACCTCCCGAGCGCTCTACCGACTGAGCTACCGTGAACGGTCTTCTTCCTCCCCCTTTTTCAACCGCCAAAATTTTTCAATTAAATCAAAGAAACTAGATATACGATATATAAGAGTTTGTTTTTGTCAGTGGGGCCAACTTTAAAAAAATGTTTGCTTGCCTCAGGAGAAAAACTTGAGTCGGCAGGTAGGTGAGAAATTTTTTTTTCAATGAAAATTTCAAAATCAATGTTGAATTTTCAAAATCTTTTTTTCCGGAATGCATAAAAAAATAATTGCTTCCTGTAGGTTAAAGAAAGTATTGTGTCGGGCAATTTTTAGCCAGTCGATTGGGAGAGGGCAACCAAACAATTTTTTTAAAGATGGCCTAGGTTAAATTACTTGAGTATGGTGACATAAAGTATTCCTGATCTAAGTGTATTTGCTTTGGCCTCCTCGACATACCATTTATATTCAAAATATAATGGCGTTAAGTTTGTTTAAGTTACAACGTCATGATATTAAACTGGCACATTCATTTTCATCTTGTGTTCGACAGTCTATCACATTTTAGCGTCTGAAACAGAATTTTAGTAAAAACCCTTAGGTTGGGTCATAAGGTTTTGGAAAGGCTGACAAATTATTCTGGCACTTCGCTCCAACTTTCCCATCAAAAGGTGTTAAAGTGTTTTAAGAGGGGGCTTATGTATTCCTTTTTTATCGACCAGTCTGCCAAACAACCAGTGAATTTTGATGTCTTTGATAACGCTTTCATGGGAAACAATTCCTATACACCACATGACTTGATATTTACACGAGAAGAGTACCCAGATTCTATTTTCCCTTTTAATCGCAAAAATGGACCCCAGTTCTGTATCCTTGTGAGAATTTGATAGATGATTAACTTTGATAAAAATATTACTTTTGCTTTTCAATAAACCAAATGATTCTGACATTTAAAAGACATTATGATATTTCATCATGCCGATAACTAGTTGTTTTTACCATTATTCTGTGCCTTATACAGCTCACTGTTTTCTAAAGTTTAAAGGGCATAAAAGATGTTTTTATGTTATAAATCGTATAATCTTGATTATATTAACTATATTTAAAACTTAAGCACGTTTGAATTAGTTTTGGAAAGCTTTTAATCTCCATGAAATTGTATGCATAATTTATCGTAAAATGTAACTACTGCCTCTGAAACTTGTAGGGACTAGAAGAGCATTGTTTATCATTTATCATAGAGTACTCCTTAATGTCAATGATTAATTACATAATATATCCATATGAATCCCAATTATTTTAAAAATATTCAGATGAGGATAAAGACATCATGGGAAGTGTTATTTTAGCAAACTTTAACAATGAATTAAACATTGCCCAAAACACGTGGTAGAAGCCACTTCTGAACAAAATCATAGTAGTTTTCCGAGTCCAAATCAGGAGAATCAGCGTTCAGCGTTACAATACTGACAAAATATATAATATGTAAGATACAAACAACTGAAAATTTTTTAATTGAATTTTTTTTTTTTTTACAATACTTTGATATATAGAATCTCATTGCACTTATCAATTCTTTCCTGTCTATGGATTTAAAAAATGCATGTGTGTAAAAAGTCTTATGGACATGTATTCTATATAATCCCTTAAAAATGTCTGTCTCTTAATAATATGTCTGTATTTAATTCTTTTTTTTTTTGGTTTAGAAGGACCTAGCAGTCCTGTTTTATATGTGGTTCCCCTGCTGTGGCTGCTTAGTGAAAATGCTGCCAAGGACCACCAGTTCACAGTCACGAACAAAAGACAGCTTTATCATGAGACAACAGAGTACAATGAAGCGAGGGTATCGCCTTGGAAATGAATCTGTCTATTACAGACATAATGATAGAATTCCTAGATACTCATCCATAAAAACCAGTGTCAGAGACAGCAAAGAGAGCGGGTCGGAGTAACAATTTGTATCCTATTAACTTTTGATCCTCTTTGATAGTCTGCCATATGGTCATAAATTTGTTGCTGGAGCTCAATGGGATCTTGTATCTAAATAAGAGATCCTTTCATATTCATAAAGATACTTTCTGAAAGGGAATGATGTCGAAAATGCAGAAGAGCTTTCTCATCGTAAGTAAATCGAAAACAACGATACATCAGTATTTCAGTGAACTTTTACTTGGCAGCCACACACATATTGATGTCACACAAAATAATAAATTTCACTTGCATTTGTCAAAAAGAAAAGAAACAAACATTTGTAATGCTGAATTTACCATTTACTGAAGATTTCAAAAGATGTAAGGTTATTATGTATGTTTTTTCTTATAATTATTCGCAGGTGACAGAGAGATGCCACAACGTATCATCTGTTTGATGTTGAAGTTTAAAGAAATATATCAACATAGCCATCATTTTAAACACACTTGATCCATTCTTGTACTCATTCAACATTTCAGAGTGTCATTACGTTGATTCCTAATCAAAGATCATTTAATCATCAATTCTGCACGTGTTCATTTTTTCATAGAGGGTCGCCTTTACTACCTTCATCAATGAAATCTTCAAAGCGTTAAACAGTTATTGTAAGTGCTAAACATATGGATCAATCATCTTGGAGTGCTAGTATATGTTTTTAAAAACAGAAGGAGGGTGCAAACTTTTTGTGGAATGGTAGAAGATGCCAAAAGAAAATTGATCATTGTTCGATGAGGCAAGCAATGATGTTCCCTTGAGGAATCATACTGGATTTAAAGCCATTCCGGCACAAATGTATACTGACAACTTTTGTGGTATGAATGGAATATATATGAATGGGATGGTACGCTATTCGTGACGTGAATAATATTGTACAAAAACAAAGTGTGATTGAATTGAAATGTATAATCTACAAATATGTTTTAATATTCAAAATTCACAAAGTCATGCCATTATTATATTTATAATTCCAGATGAACATACAAATTGATTTTTTTTTTGGTAATAGATATCATTTTCGTAGGAATTTCTTTCCAATTTTGATTAGTTTTCTGTTAATTTCATTACTTGATTTGGTCATCCTCGTGTATATTTTGTGTTTGATGAGAGTTTTATCATACCTTTTATCATGTTTCTGATTGTTTTTATGCGAAATATTAGTAAATTTACACAAACTTGAATCTTGTTTTACTGTTGTTTACGATATAATTTAAAAGGTACGAAAGAGTCAATCACATGCAGCTGCGATTTAATTGATACTTGGATGTTATCGTTTTTTCAAGTCAAATTGAAAGGAAAAAATCTTGATAATTAATTTACAAAACTAGTATTCTTATCCCTTGAAAATGTAATGCAATATTGTTCAAAAACTCATGGTTATTTTAGAAAAGTTATCTTTGCAAATTGCCCCAGAAAGTTAATTTTACATATCTAAAACGAGGGAACAAATTCTATATCAAAAGGATTACTATTAGAGTTGCACGTATCACATCGGAAATGCTGTGTTAATCATCATATAGAAATATCTGAGTAAAAGTCAATTTGTAAGATGCTCTGATTTATATAATAAAGAACTAAAGATGTCTGGAAGTGTCAGAAAATTGTCATGATATGGAACTTTGTGATCATCCCAAATCTATTTCCATGTGAAAAAAATGTATATCTGTTAAACCATGACAGTCTTTTACTGTTGGAGTGGCAGAATTTAACATAACATATGCATTATACACAGAGGCAGACATTAACTTCTTATTATTGATGATAGGATATTTATCTTTAAAAACGTGAAATATATCTTTTAGAATGACATTGGCTTCTTTGCAATATTGGTTTATGATAGCATAAACTGTTAGCATGATATCAGATGCAAAAGGTCAAAGGAATAAGGATAAAATAAAAGTGAATAGAAAGGATTGGTCGGATATTAATTTATTAAACAGAAGTATCATTTATAGCATCCTGCTGAAAGATGATTGATTCTAGATGGTAAGTATCACAAGGAACTTCAGTCCAATTTTGACCATTGCACTTTTGAAATCAAATTTATCATCCAAATCTCTTCAAGTTTATATGATGGTGAAGTATTTTCTTTTTTTTATTTCTGTGAAATACATCAAGATTAAAATTTTTCTGAAGAGTCTTTTTCCTATGAAAGTACAATATTTTTACAATAACTTATTCGTGGAATTATTTCTACACCTTCACAATGTCGAAGATGTTGCTTAAGAGCCTATAAAAGTCGCTCTTATTAATTTCTTTTAAGGTTGCTCAATAGATAAGTGACAAAATCTTTTAACTGTTTCAAGAAATGTGTAAGAAAAATGTTGAAAAACGTTTTAAGGAGGATACTTCATTAAGATTGAGAATGTTCAAGTGATCAATCGAGCCAATGCAATTAGATTAGATAGACACTGACTTCACGAGTTAAGGGCAACAAAAACTGGTACCCGTCTAGTATCTGGGTTCAATCGACATTTGATACTTAAGTAAATCAAATGAAAAACTATTTTAAATAGGATCAAGAAAGCTCTTTTCAAAGAAAAGCTACAGTCCAGTAATCGATGGGTTATTCTGATTATCTTTATTCTTTGAAATCATCATACAAGAAACGAATTCTAAACATAGAGCTGAAAGACGCAGCAGTATATCAGTTGTAATTGTAACAATGCATAAAAGGTGTACATTTATTTAGGGACTGAAGAGATTCGTTTGACTTTTACGTTTTTGTGTTCATTGCGAAAGCTTTAAATCCCTGTACATGAATGTTGAACCAAAACAAAAAAGAGAAGACGAAAATACCCAGAGAGGCTTAATTTAAATTGTACATCAGTAAAATATACAACGAGCTTATTATAAGAAAACATACTATATATATTATTGTCGTTCACTGCACCAACATTTTGCTTCAGTGAAATATGAAGATAACGAACAGTAATCAAGCTCAAACGTCCTGTGTAAAACAGTACATATTGGGAGCAAGCAAACACGGACCTCTAAAACATCAGAGGTGGGATCAGGTGCCATGAGGAGTGAGCATCCCCTATCGACCGGTCACATCCACCGTTTGCCCCTTGTCATGATCGAGTAAACGGGAAAATTCGTAGACAAATCAGTGTGATAATAGTGGTCTAATAATTTGTATAAAAATGTCAGTCAACGTTCGACTGAACGATAGGTTGTATTTGCTAACAAGGTCATTGTATCCAAGATAGACTTTGATTATGTTGACTTAAAACAAGATTTTCGATATCCTTGTATCATCAACTTATTTATCAATAGCTAGGCTCGTTTAAGAATTTTTTTGTAAGTAGAACATGCTTTTGCGTATCGAATCAACTGGAAGACATTAATTCAATATGAAGGTGACGATGGTATATTGCTACATAAAGGAAGTTGACGATAGAAAAGTTTATAATAGATTTTAGTTGTTAGTTTGCCATTAATGTCTTTCTATAGTTAAATATCCAAACATGAAACAGATGTGTCAGCCTCTGTATGTCTTTTATATTTCGAGTTCAAAGGGATATATCGAATCAACGTATGAATGAAATTGAATATTGTTGATTAATAAAATGCCGACTATATATCTAAATGTCGAATTGAAGGCCATAGCAAGAGACTTTTTCCTTTCATGTAGAAGTTTTTAAAATAAATTCTGCTTCATATGAATGCAAAAACAGGTCTGCTTATAACAGAGCGCAATTAAAACCCATGGGAATTCCAACAGATTGTTGAAAGATTTATCTCCAAACTTTACATACTAGATATTGTCAATCAGAAACTCTAGTAACTAATTTTACTTCGGAGTATTGATGTGTATTATCAGGATTTTTTTTACAACAAAATAATTTTGCAGCACATATCCAGTAATAAAGTATGTAACTTTAAGAGTTTCATTTTTATAGAAAAATGTTTATGATGTCATAGAGCCTGATTTTTAATTTATCGTGAGGAATGGTTGCATAAAGTGTTGATAAATCGAACGTTCTGGTGCTATTAAGTTTGGTACAATTTTGTGATTTCAAATTTTCTAAAAGTTCTTTGGAGGTTTTCAATATCAACATCTCATTTACACCACTTCTAGAATATCTTATAATACTGTTCTCCTGCAGTTTGTTTCTCCTTCACTGCTGTTAATATTATGGAGAGGAGTAAAAAGGAATCAGCTATGTATATTTGTTGCAAGTATTTTTTATAGAGTTTAGAAATCCAGTATAGGTATAGGTATGGTATTTCAAATACAATTTGACATATGGTTTTGAAGAATTACCTATTTATAAAGCGAAGTATGAAAATAAGTTGGATTACCAATTAAAGAATCAAATCCACGTTCCTCTAAAAAATAATTTAAAAAATGAGCCTTACAAACGAAGATAAATATAATACACGCTTTTCGACCTTGTATATATTGAATAAAGATAGTTTTATGAAACTTAGACTATTGCATTCCAAAACAGTGTATGTTGGTACATCCGCACGCTAAATATTAGAATCCTATCAATGATTCCCAAATACTTAAGGCCATATGTAACAACAGATCTATCTATTTCCCCCTCATAACCTTAGAAACATATTTGGCAGAATAATGGAGATAAAAAATGATAAATCTTGAAAAAAAAAATAGGCGTCATTGACATATATACAGAACATCTCGATTGTATGAGTTCATGACGTAAAAGACACATTACCTTATTTCCTCTCCAAAATCAACATTGAATATCTATCAGTTTCTTTACCTCCTTGGAAAAAAAACTTGTAAGGCTTAGGAATGGATTTCCACAAAGACAAATAGAATATAGGTATAAAAGTTGCAATTATACAATTATTTTAGCTTCAAAAGTTTTGTCAGAGAAAGAGAATATTTGAGTGCCTATGAATCTTCTTATTATTGTGAAAGTGCTTTAGATTAATAATTATAAAGAAGATGGTGTTCTCAACACTCATTGTTTCTATTTTATAAAGAAAAAGAAATAGACCATTCACATTGTAAGACAGATTGTGTTTAAAAGGTTTTCCACAACGCAAATTTGAATAATTATCAAGTATCTTAAGAATTTTATTCTCATTCTATCATACAAAAACAAATTATATTTTAAAAAAAAAAGAAAAGAAGAAGAAAACAAAAAACAAAAACATAATTAAAAGTTAAAAAGAAATTCAAAAAATTAAAAATCCATTGGATGTAAATTACTTTATAAGCTTTTCAGTTTTCCATTTTTCAAATTACCTGCACTATACAAGTTAACTTTAACAATGCTATGTGAAATTTTTATTCATGACCTTGTTTCTTTTTAGCTCACCTGAGCCGAAGGCTCAAGTGAGCTTTTCTGAGCAAAGAGTGTCTGGCGTCCGTCTGTCGTCTGTAAACTTTTCACATTTTCGACTTCTTCTCAAGAACTACTGGGCCAATTTCAACCAAACTTGCCACAAAGGATCCTTGGGTGAAGGGGATTAAATTTTGTTCACAGGAAGTGCCACACCCTCTTTCAAGGAGGATAATTAAGAATTCGTGAAAATTTGGTGGCATCTTTTAAAAATCTTCTTCTCAAGAACAACTGGGCAAGAGAAATTGAAACTTATGTGAAAGCTTCATTACATACTCAAGTTTGTTCATATCATAGCTTCCGGGGGTAGGGCACGGCCACAACAAGTGGGGGGGGGGTCAAAGTTTACCATAGGGATGTATAGGAAATATCTTTAAAAATATTCTTCTCAAGAACAGCTGGGCCATTATTAGACTATTAATACAGAAGTATCCTCGGGTAGTGTAGATTCAAGTTTGTTTAAATCATGACCCCTGGGGCTAGGGTGGGTCCACAACAGTGGGTCAAGGTTTACGTAGGAATATACACTGTATATAGGTGTAATGGTTAAGGGGCATTTGAGTAAAACGCATTGAAGACTTTAAATAGTGGAATGACCTGACAACCCTTGGAATGGACTAGCCTAAGGGTATATATGGCAAAGCTTTGGGAAAGTCAGGCATTCAGAAGGTAGCTGAAGGAGTTGGATGATGTATCAGCAATAAAGAAGTTATGGTATTCCATTCTAATAGCAAAAGATATAATGAAATAACAGATGTGTAGTGTTGAATACTCAGTATATTTAGACTTAATTCCCATTTATTACTATTAGCATGTAAAGGTGGGATGTGTCCTAATTTACCTTGAATTGACCTTTA